GGGGGAGGAAGCAGGGGGCGGGGCTTCGTCATGTGCCCCGCCCCCCGTACCTCACCCGGGGGAACTGCGATCCTCCGCGATCCCCCCCGAAATGACCTCTGAGAAGGTTGAACCTTCCTTCCAGTGTGTTTGAAAAAATGCGCCCTGCACACGAAAGCTCATCCCTTGAATAAAACTTTGTTGGTCTTAAAGGTGCCCCACTGGACTCTAAATTTGTCCTTCTGCTCAGACCCCCATAGCTGACATATTCATGTAATGAGCATGTGCAAGCTAAGATTTTTCTTCACCCTTCTCAAGAGACCCAGCCACAGACTCTCTAGTACTCACACACCCTGTCTAAGCACCTTTCCCCGTCCTGGGAACACCTGCAGCCAACCTGCCCCCTCAGGGCCTACTAAGCCTTCCGAAAGCCTGGAGCTAAAGTAACGCTCGGAGAGCGCCCGAAGCGCGAGGCAGTCGGCTTCGTTCCGCCGGCCAACTCCCCGGCTTAGCGACGTAGCACGGGCGCCCCCTGCTGGACGCAGGGCGCAGTCTTCGGTCTTGCTGTCTCCCCGCGGCAGTATTCGAAGAAACTACAACTCCCGGCATGCAGCGCTGTCACGGAGTCCCGTGGGCCACTTTCGACCTTATCGGATACTACAATGACCGACTTACCAAGGGGGGGGGGGGAAACGAAGGGACGCTCAACCGGATATCCGGTGGGAAGTGTCAGTAAAATAGTGGGGGCCGGAAAGCAGAAGCCCCTATTCTCAGCCTGGACCTAAAGACGGTGTTGCCATGGTAAGTTATGGGGAGGGAGAGGAAAAAAGGGGGTTCCTCTTCCTGGGAACAAGGGGAGTAGCTAGGGTGTCTCCATGGGAGAGGGAGAAATAAAGGGGGGGGGGTCTTCGACTTTTGGTTAATGCAGGAAGGGGGTGCTTTGGACGACCCTCAAAAGGGAAGTAGGTGAATAATCAGGCGGTGTTTGTTCGTGTTGGAATGAATGCATTCTCTTTGCAAGCTGTCCTTAATAGTAATGTGGCTGGTTGCACATATGGGGTGCAGTAGAGTTTTCAGCCCGCTATGCCTCTTATCGCGCACGGAACGCTGTGACCTTCCCACCGAAGCGGTACCTATTTATCTACTTGCAATTTCTTGCTTTCGAACTGCTAGGTTGGCAGGAGCTGGGGCCAGAGACGAGAGCTCACTCCGTCATGCGGCACACTCGGGTCTCGAACTGCTGAACGGCCGACCTTCCACAGCCTGCAGTTCAGCGTCTTAACCACTTGAGATAAATAATTGCTATATGCCACATTTGGGATATTGAGGCAGATTTGGGGGTGGGTGGGTTTTGAAACAGAAGCAATAGTTCATTAGGCCCTTTGCAACAAGAAGGGAAAGAGAATGCTTCAAAACAAGCTTCGGTTTTGAACTGTTTGTGTGTATGTGTGTGTGTGTGTTAAGTGTTGTCAGGTTGCTTCTGACTTATGGTGACCCTATGAATTCATGCTCGCCTAAACGTCCTGTCGTTGCTCAGGTCCTGCAAACTAAAGGTGGCGGCTTCCTCGATGGAGTCCATCCATCTCATCTCGGGTCCTCTTCCTGTTTTTCTGCCGCCTCCAGCTTCTCCTAGCATTGTCTTTCCCCAATAACTCTTGTCTTCTCACAGTGGGGCCAAAGTAACGAAGCTTCAGTTGAGTCGTTTTAGCTTCTAGGGAGAGTTCAGGCTTCATTTGGTCTAGAACCCACTGAGTTGTCTTTTTGGTGGTAAGCAGACTCAATTCTACTAATTAGAAGAGGAAGAGATTGGATTTCTACCCCGCCCTTCACTGCCCGAAGGAGTCTCAGAGCGGCTTACAATCTCCTTTCCCTTCCCCTCCCCACAACAGACACCCTGTGAGGGAGGTGGGGCTGAGAGAGCTCTCTCGAGGACTGCCCTTGAGAGAACTTGTGACTGGCCCAAGGTCACACCAGCAGCTGCATGTGGAGGAAGAGAAGAAGAGATTGGATTTATACCCCGCCTTTCACTGCCCGAAGGAGTCTCAGAGCGGCTTACAGTCTCCTTTCTTTCTCCCTCCACACAACAGACACCCTGTGAGGTAGGTGGGGCTGAGAGAGCTCTCTTGAGGACTGCTCGTGAGAGAACGGCTCTGAGAGAACTTGTAACTGATCCAAGGTCACACCAGCAGCTGCATGTGGCGGAGTGGGGGATCAAACCCGGTTCTCCCAGATTAGAGTCCATGCTCCTAACCACTACGCAAAACAACGGCAATAAAAAAGGCAGGGTCAGAGGGGTTCCCTCCCTTCTCCCCTTCTGAGAGCCTGTGATAGTGCCAGAGTTGAATTTTCTGCATTTTGCCCATTACTGTTTTTAATAGCTTAATGGCAGCTAATATACTACTACTTTTACAGCGGCTTTCCTCATTTTATCTACTTTGTAGCAGCCAGAATAGCCTAGAATAGCCCAACCACTTCAGAGCTTGAAAACTAAGCAGGGTCAGGCCTGGTTAGTACTTGTACAGGAGACCACCAAGGAAGCCCAGGGTTGCTATGCAGAGGCAGGCGAAGAAAAACCACCTCTGCTCATCTCTTTCCTTGAAAATCCCAGGAGGGGTTGCCATAACTCAGTTGTAACTTGAGGTCATTTAATCATTATTATTTATGATGTAATTTTAAATATATTCTTTGATACTGTCCCTTCAGTAAAAGGGCAGGGTAAAAATATTGTCAGTGGATTGAAGGACAGAAGGTGTCATGGTATAGCCTGATCTCGTCATATCTCAGAAGCTCAGCAAGGTCAGTACTTGGAAGGGAGACCACCAAGGAAGACTCTGCAGAGGAAGGCGACGGCCAGCCTCCTCTGCTTCCCACTTGCCTTGAAAGCCCTTTGCTGGGGTGGCCATAAGTTGGAAGCTCAGCAGGGTGAGTACATGGAAGGGAGACCACCACCAAGGAAGGCTCTGCAGAGGAAGGCGACGGCCATCTCCTCTGCTTCCCACTTGCCTTGAAAGCCCTTTGCTGGGATGGCCATAATTTGGAAGCTAAGCAGGGTCAGTACTTGGAAGGGAGACCACCAAGGAAGGCTCTGCAGAGGAAGGCAATGGCCAACCACCTCTGCTTCTCCCTTGCCTCGAAAGCTCCTTGCTGGGGTGGCCATAAGTTGGAAACTAAGCAGGGGCAGTACTTGGAAGGGAACAGAAGAACATAAGAGAAGCCAATGTTGGATCAGGCCAATGGCCCATCTAGGCCAACACTCTGTCACACAGTGGCCAAAAATACCAGGTGCCATCAAGAGGTCCACCAGTGGGGCCAGGACACTAGAAGCCCTCCCACTGTTGCCCCCCCCCCAAGCACCAAGAAGACAGAGCATCACTTGCCCCGGAGTCCCTATCTATACCTTGTGGCTAATAGGCACCGATGGACCTCTGCTCCATATGCTTATCTAATTCCCTCTTGAAGCCATCCATGCTTGTAGCCGCCACCACTTCCTGTGGCAGTGAATTCCATGTGTTAATCACTCTTTGGGTGAAGAAGTACTTCC